CAAGCTTTTAGAAGTGATTGTATTTAAGATTTTATGAATTGTTTGTATTTGCTCTGGACCAAGCACTCCAAACCCTAGAAATTGTGTTAATCAAGCATGCCATTCAGAAAACAAACAGATCCACCCAATCTGTTCCTCAGTTCTCAGTTGCCTGATCTCTGAGACAGAACCCTACAGCCAAGTGTGTTCTCAGGCACAGCTTGGACACTGGCTTTCTGCTCCACTGAGAGAGGGACAACAATATCCCATCACCCAAGCAGATTTGGGAATAAGGCTGTATGCCCAGAACTATCGTGATACCCACAGTATGCTCACGACCCTCTAATCCAAAATATCTATCATGCTTCAGGTTGCTAATAGGGAAGTATCCAACCAAGAGCAAACTGCATGAATCACTATAATGTTGCATATAAGAAAAAATGTCCTGGAGGAAATAAAATGAAAACGTAGACAACAGTATACAAGATTACTAGCTTCCTCAATTCAGACAGAGGAAAGCTGGGAAAAGTCCAAAACAGCACAAGCAAGCCAGTCAATGACAGTTCAGTAGAGCTCTGTGAAGGACCTGGGAACTGCAAGTTGGTGCAGTGTAAAGTTCTGTCCTTCCTCAGTAAGAATCTGTGGAGTCCCTTGCAAAAAGCTTCCACAAAGAGTCTTGTAGGATGCACTGCTTGCTGGGTCTCATTTGATCCACTGAGAGTTTGAGTGCTGGACATTTTCAACCAAGAATGTTTTTTGTTTTCTCCATTCCTTGATCTGTGGCAGAACCCTTAGAAGTCCCTTTCATGTCAGCTATATAAAGATGTTTTCCAGATGAGTCTTTCAGCTTGGGATGAAAATAATGGAAAGAGTTAGCTCCACTGGAATGCTCTCTTATACCAAATATTATAAAGCAGATGTTTAGCTTTGCTTCTTCAGGATAGAAATGCATGTAGCATACTTGAACAAAGAACCTACCAACCCACTTACTTTTGTAGCTGCTATGAGGAAGGAAATGGAAATAAGTATAGTGAAACCCTTAGTGAAAGACATTTTGTGGTCATTTATAAAATCAGGTTAAAATACTGCTGTTTTCTAGGGAACCCCTCATCTCCTAGACCTGGAAAAGAACAGAAAAAAATGGGTATAAAAACACATCCATTAATAACCCTACTGTCAGTACAAGAAGAAAACTTAGAGAAGCCACCAAAAGGAAGTACTTTTGAGATGTGATGGGAGTGCATTTTTAGTTGCAGATTGTACAGTGGAAAAACCATTCTAACAGAAGAATGTAAAATAGGAATGTGAGTCTTGTTCTCCTGAGTAGCAGTGAATTCTGAAGGAGAGCTGAAATGAAGGAAGGGCAGGTACCTAGAGACACTGCTCCTGGAAGTGAGGCCAGAGCTTGCAGCATTTCGCTACCAAGGGAATTCCAAATGGATGGTCCTTAGAAATAAGTTCAGGAATGATCATGCTAAAAAATAATAATTTGTCTTTGTTGATTTGGGAAATGTTTTGAAATTGAGGGAGGGGAGATTTAGGTTGGATGTCAGGGGGAAGTTCTTTACAGAGAGAGTGGTGAGGTGCTGGAACAGGCTGCCCAGAGAGGTTGTGGATGCCCCATCCCTGGGTGTTCAAGGCCAGACTGAATGGGGCTCTGGGCAGCCTGGTCTAGTATTAAACGTGGAGGTTGGTGGCCCTGCATGTGGCAGGGGGGTTGGATATTCATGATCCTCAAGGTCCCTTCCAACTCTGTGATTTTTAGATTGTCATTGACACAATTACTCTGGAGTACGTAGAGAAGCTTACTCTGTGTATAATTTCATCAATATGTATTGTGTAAATACAAAGAACAGCATGAGACAATTCTCTACAAGCTGACGAGGACATGAATGAGTAGTGTTTCTATTTAATGGCGGGAAAACGTGAGGAATGATAGGTGGAGCTGATGAGAAAAAGGGGACATAGCAGGAGAGAAAGGTCAAGCAGAGCCATTTCTTCAATGAGTCACAGAATGTCTTCTGCTAAGTCTGCTCCATCCTTCCAAAGCAAATAACTAGATACTATTTGGGGATTACAGCTGCTGTCCCTGGATTTGTTTATAGCTGTATGTTCTGTGGTGTGGGATTTAGTGGGAAAAGAGCAAATCATAAAGAGAAAAGAAAGCTACTGAGCTCCTACTGTCAAACTGAGAGCCAGTGTTTGTAATTGGTGGATGAAAAATCAGAGGCACACTGAAATGATTGCAGAAGCAGGTACTATAAATGCAAGTAGATCAGAGGTAACTTCCCATGGGGAAGAAATTCAGGTGAATGAAACCAGGCTTAGGCATCTATAGTGCACTTTTGCAACAACAGTTATGATCACAATGCTGTTGGTGTTTATGGTTGGGACACGGCACAAACTATTTTTTAAAGAGCTGTGTAACCTGGCAGGGTGAAGATGTTGCATTAAAGTGGTCCTTTTACTTCCTTTAATTATTCTTAGAAATATTCTTAGAAATTATTGAGGATTTTTCTCTTTCCTCACTTCTCCAGGTTAAAATGCAGTTTTCCCAAAGGGATGAATCAAGTTAATTCTTCCATTCAACTTTTATAGATTGACAAGGACTCTACTATCTTTGGTAATCTGATGACCCAGACTTCTACGTTTTTTTCCTCTTTTTGACTTAGATGCCAGATTTATCTGGTGCCTGGAAGGAACAGGGAACTGGGGGAGAGCCAGCTGGCTGGAATCCATCTGGAAAGGTGAAGGTGATGGTGATAGGAAGAGCAGAATGCTTTGAGGACTTGATGAAAATCACAGTTTATTTCTTAAGGGCAGCTGCTCAAATACAGCATGCTCAGTTTGTGTAGAACAACAGCCCACTATACATAAGGAGACTACATCCAGCATAGGAACTTGCTCTTTTCAGTTAAAGATGCCAATGGCATTTCTTGAGAAAAATTAACATTTGATGAATGTATGTGCATGATGACAGGTATGGGTTACTTTTGCTTTAGCACAGCCAACCTGTTATGCTTGTCTGGTGGTCTGTTGTTCCACAACCTGCTTTCCCAAAAGAATGATGTCTTCAGCACAACATGACAGACAGAGACTTCAGTTAGTGAAACTTTCAAGAAGATTTTCATTTTCAGGCCCTCACATCTGATTGTAAGTTGATAGAATAGCCCACTACAAATAATGCCAGCTCCAGAAACATACATTCTGTATTGGAGAGTTCAGACAGTCCAAACAAAACCTCGTAAAACCACTTTATTATTGTTATATATGCTTACACCACACTTGCAGTTGATACAAGTTGTCTCATGATGTGAGTCAACCACAGGTAGACCTCTACTATCTGTAAATCATAGAATCATGTAATCACTAAGGTTAAAGACCACTGAGATCATCTAGTCCAACTGCTAACCCATCCCCACCATGTCCACTAACTTGTGTCCCTCAGTGACACATCTACATGTTTCTTGAACACCTCCAGTGATGGTGAATTAACAACTTCCCTGGGCAGCTTGTGCCAACACCTCACCACTGTTTGCGAGAAGAATTTTTTCCCAATATCTAACCAGAACCCTCTCTGATAAAACTTGAGGCCGTTCCCTCTTGGGTTCGGTTCCCAATAACCATTACCTGGGAAGAAGTGCCCAAACCCCACCTTGCAACAACCTCCTTTCAGATCATTCTGGGAGTGATAAGGTCTCCTCTAAGCCTCCTTTTCCCAGACTCAACAATCTCAGTTCCCTCAGCTGCTCCCTGTAAGACTTGTGCTCCAAGCCCCCTCACGGCTTTCTTGCCCTTCTCTGGACATACTCCTGGGCCTTGACATCTTTCCTGCAGTGAGGTGCCCAAAACTGAATAGACATTGAAAACCCACAGATGTGGATTCACCTGGTCCTTCATTGTTCTCAGATAGATTATTTCCCATTTACTGGGGCTAGATGGCATCTTTGGTAAAGTATGATCCATGCTCCAGATTTCTTGCCATCAAACTGACAGCTGAGGTGCAGGTCATACAGGTGGCACAGGCACACTGGGAGGTTTATTCTGGCTTCTAGGTTGAAAGGACACCCATCTTCAGCGTTCTACCACCTTCTGCCTGTCAGGGCTATCACAGACGCTGGGGCTGAGCCTACTGCCCCGCCAGGGCTCCGAGGGCTCGGGGCTGCGGTGGCCGCGCGGCTCCAGGCCCCACCTGTGGCGGGCAGTTCCCGCGGACCCGGCCCGGCCCTGCCGCTCCCCTCCCAGGCGACGATTTCGCCTCGGCCGGCGCCCCGTGTCCCGGCCCCACTGAGAGGTTTTTCCTCTCCGCCCATCCCTCGTCCAGGCAGCACCCGTGCAGGCGGCGGCGGCCGCGCACTGCCCGCCCTGTTCCTTCTTCGTCGTTGACCGCCGGGCTCGGTCCTCCCCGCGCGTCGGCTCCTCCTTGTCCTTCCTCGCGTGATTTTTATCGCTTCCTTTTTCTTTTTTTCTTTTTTTTTTTTGTATTTATGTAAATAAAGAAGCGCCGGCCGCTCCCACCGGCCCCCGCCACTCAGCTCCGCTAGGGGCGGCAGCCGGCCCCGCGCCCCGCGCCGGGAGGAGGCGCCGCGCTGCTCAGGTGGGGGTGGTGGCGCCGGGGCGATGCGGAGCCCCCTCCCGTGACTCCGGTCGTCCGCCATGCGATGGGTTAGGCGGCCTCCCTCCCGCAGCCGGCAGGGCAGCAGCCAAGCGGGGCGGCGGCAGGAAGCGGCGCGGCTCGGCCGTGGAGCGGCGGCGGGAGGTGGCCCCCTCCATGGACGGCGGCGAGGGACGATGAGCCGCGGCCAGCGGCCGGGACCGGCGCTCGCCCGTAGGGGCTCTCCCCGCTGCGCGCCCCGGGGCGCCGTGGCTCCGCTCTCCCCCTCCGTCCCCCGCTCCGTCCCCCCTCTCCCCGCTCGAGGTAATCCCGATCGCCCCTAAAGCGCGGCGCTCCGGGGCTCATCCCGCCCTCTCCTCCCCTCCCCGGCCCTTCCCCTCCCCGCTCCCCGCCGCTCGCCCCCGTGGCCCCGCCGCCCCCGGGGAGCCGGCGGCCGGGCGGGTGGCTGCGAGGTCGGGGCTCTGGGCACCCCGCCCCTCGCCGCGAGGCTGCCGGCTGCTGACGGGCTATTGATTTGTATGTGCTTCGCCCCGCGCCGGCCGCTCCCGCCGCTGCCGCCGGAGCCAGGAGAGCGCTTCCCGTAGCGGCGCGGAGCTCCCACCAAACATGTCGGCTCCCGCCGGGCCCCGGGGCGGCCCTGCGCCTCCTCAGCCGCTGCCGGCGACTCAGCCCGAGATGCCCGACCTCAGCCACCTCACGGAGGAAGAGCGGAAGATCATCCTGGCCGTCATGGACCGCCAGAAGAAGGAAGAGGAGAAGGAGCAATCCGTGCTCAAGTAAGGGCGGGCGCGTCTCTTCCCCGTCCCCGGCCCTCTGGGGCGGCGCGGCCGGGCGGGATGGCGGAGCGGAGCGGGATGGCGGGGCCGGGCAGGGCTGCCGGCTCTCGCCACTCGGGCGGCGATGGGGCGCGGCCGGGGCCGGCGCGGAGCCGGGGCCCGAGGCTTGCCGCTCTCCTCGGCGGGTCGGGCGGCGGCCGAGGCTCCGCTAGCCCCGGCGCCGGCGGGGGCACGGCGCTCAACATGGCCGCACAGGTGCCGTCCTCGCCCGGCGCGTGCCGCCGGCAGGAAGGGGGGAGCCGGGCCGAGGCGGCGCTCGGCGGCGGCGGGCTCCGTGAGGGGGCTCGGCAGACGGCGGGCGGGCGGCGGCGGCACTGCCCCGCGCTGGCGGGACCGCTGGGGCCTAGGCTCCGGCCGTCTCGCCGGGTGGGTTTGCCACAGCCGCCATCTTCCTCCGACAACGTGTCTGCCGCCCGCCCCCGCCCCGCTGCTCTTTCCAAGCGGGAGCCCGCGGCCGTGCTTCAGCACCGCGAGCCGTCCGGCGGCGCCGCCCCTGCGGCCCCGGGGCTCGTCCTGCGGGGGCTGCCGCCGGCGGAGAGCGGCCCCGCCGAGCGGTCCCGAGCCTCGCCGGCCGCGGCGGGAGGACTCGGGAGCTGTCCCCTCGCCGTGGTGCTGACCCGTGTCTGCCTGAAAAGGAGCGATTTGCTCGTTTTGTGGGCGCTGCTCGTAGCGGCGCCGCGAGGCTGAAGCACCAAGCGCCTCTTTCGTACCAAACCCCAGCAAGTTAAAGCGCTGAATTAGTATTGTGTCGTGGGCATGTCAGCTCCAGCTGGCCCTCCGAGCCCCGTGCCTGAAAGCTGCCCCAAAGCCTATTTCCAAGATTCTTCTTTTTTTTAAATCATCCTAACGAAAACTTAGTCTGAAGTTATCACTTACATGGCAGCTATGGGGCTGTGAGATGATCTAAACCGTGTAAGTCTGTTTCAAGAGATGTTTTTATTGGGTGTGCATCTCAAGGAATGACAATGTAATGTGAGCACTGGAAATAAAGTGCCGTACCTAGTTTTATAACTAAATACCTTTCAGCCTAATGCTGTTCAATTGACTTGATATTGTGGCACTCGTTTTAAAGCAAGTTGCACTCTTAAATGGTATAGTATATACAGAAATAAATGCATATGTCTGTCTAAAATCTCTGCAGTCATAAAATCATTAACCAAGAAGGAAATGGAAAAATATTCAAGTTGCAACGCAAGTATACGATGCTACACTTACAGGAAGCTCCTGGCAACTTTTGTGGTAGCTTCTATATCTCAGATCTTAATGTGACTCTAGGATCAGCTTGAACTCTTCAGCTTGCAGATGAAGAACAAACTTTTAGAATCTTGGAAGCAGACAGCCAACAAAAGAAAGGGCTTCATCACAATCTGAAGACAAACTTTAGGTGGGGTTTAGGCTCTTATTAAAGTTTCCTCTTGATTTCTGTGTGAGCAGTGAGGGAGGTAGCATAAAGGTTATATAGAAAGAATATCCTGAAACAGGCTCTTGCAAAAATGCTGTTCTCAATGGAATTTGTATAGGTGGCCTGTAATATATTTTATAGGATGCAGAGAAGTGATCTGGTGTCAGATGAATAACTCACCAGTTTTGTTTTCCTTAAGTGAAGTGGCTCCTTGGTCCATCAGATGCATGTTTATTCTGAAAATGCCAACAGATTTATTAATCACAACATTCCACCAGTCATACCAGAGCGTATTCTGCATTTTTAGATAGGTATTACTGAGCTTAATTCTTTTGACAGATGTTTTTCTTCTGTCAAGAGAAGAGAAAGAAGAAGAAAGAAAAAAACCCCATGTATTTAGATGAATGGACTACTGTTATTGCATATAGATAAATATAGAGCTAAATCCTGCAGTCTTTGTTCAAGTGTAATTCTCCTCGAAGGCAAGCTCCTTTTGAAGTGGAAGGTATTTTTGTCTGACTAAGCAATAAAACTGTGTCATTTCATTCCATGGAGAAATTTAGGAGGATAAAAAAAAGATGATTGAAAAAAAAAGTTGATACCTAGAGATCTTAGCACAATAACAGTTCAAATATTGTAGAAAGGGACAAGCATGGGTCTTTGGTAAGTTTTAGATAATTTATGGTGATTGAATATCAGTTTGAATGGCTAGTCCCTGGGCTCCACTTCCCGTTTCTATTCTATTTCTATTTTGTGCTTTTCAAATTCTTGTGCTGTGCCTATCACGGTGGTATTTGAGCATCTTCCAAAAATGCATTAAGTAGTGTGACTCACATCTGTAATGTAGACTGTTTATTTTTTTCCTTGTGCTCCCCGGGGTAAATATGTGTGGATTTAAAATAGATACGTATCTTCTTTTCCTTATGCTTGCTTTATTCTTTTTGGAGAAAAGAAATGCAGATGGTATTGAGTTGTAATCTGTAGCAACTAATAGTGAAAGGTCAGCATGAATTCCTGCCAGGATTTGCTGGAAAATGATAGCGTGTAAAACTGAAGCTTTCCAGATTTGCTCTTTCTTTTGGCCTGGTTTGCTGTGTGAAATATGCCTCCCTACAGTTGTGCACTGTGCTCCTGTGGTGGAGCTTCCACGTTTAAAGGAGGACAGGCAGCAAACTGCTGCTCTGACTGCCTGTCCTTTGAAACTGTTGGGATCCTTGGAGTGTGTTTTGAATGCTGTGTTCTGGGAAGGTGCCTTTTTGTTAAGTTTACTGTACATATGTTGAACATAGTATTTAATGTGTTTAATGTTTAGAAAAAGTAAACTTATGTCTGTATGCGGAGTGTAAATTCTTCTCTCTAGTTATAGAAATATTTACCTATTTTCAAATTCTCTATTTGTGGGTATTTGAATTTCTTGGATATTGCATAAAATGTAAAAACTTTACTCCTCCATTATGTGCATCCTTCCTCTCGTAATTTCTAGTTTTGTGAGCATAAGCTTTCTAGCGGATTTTAGGTAACCCGTTTCCTCTAAGAGAGTTGCTTTATGAGATCTGTGGTCTGCCTGTTTGCTTTTCATTTGCACTTTATTTCTGTATCAAAGGACTGGCTAAAGAGGATGTGCACAGAAAAAAAACACTTGTAGAAGATGCTAGGTTGCTGATGTTATGTGTAAAGATTTTGTTTCAGCCTGTATGGTGTGCATTTACAGCCATCTTCTTGTAGGACCACAGGTTCCTGGCTCCTTGTCCAACTATTCTAAAAGTAAGGTAATGTGCTCTGCTTGTGTGCTGAGACTCACAGATCTGAAATTCACACTTTTTAGCTTTCTAGAGGTATGGACAGTTTGGCCCAGCAGAAGGCAAGTTTTCCCAATAGAAGTTTCATCATGAAATTAGTCAACTTTTCATACATTTGCACAGTATCACCTAGATTGATCATGAAGCTGTCATAGGAGATCACTCATTGTATGTGCGTGTGACCAGAATCAACTGGAATTGCCATTGTTTTTATCTAGGGAGAGAGAATGGATGGAGGCACGGCAGCTTAGATGGAGAAGGAGACTCTCTGTTTCCCACTCCATCAGGTCCTCAGCCCTAGTGTGTGTGGCTGTGGCCTTGTGTGTACTCAGTTGCTGTGTCTGTGGTTTCACAGCCATGGTAATAAATGACTGAAATTAAACATCTGACAAGGAGGCTGTGAGGAGGCTGGGCTGTGTAGGCTCCTGTGTGGGGCAGGATATTGGGCTTGGGGGGAAAGGAAGCAACGGACTCATGGCTGCGAGTCCCAGCGGTGTAAGTAGCTCACACAACCATTATACTGCTTTATAAATAATTATCCTGCTTTATGAGTAATCACCTCTGATTTACAATGCTTTCAAAGGATTCTATGTTTAGGATTTGAATTTGGGCCTGAAGGGATGACGGAGGTGTAGGTGGTGATTATTGGTTGCGTTTTTTTGTTTTTTTTCCTTCCCCAACATAGAGATGTGTGTATGGGAAATTCTGAAGTTTAGTGGGTAATGCAGAAATATTTGCTTTTGGCCACATTGTAAATTAGAAATTCAGGCAGTAGTAGTTGACTGAGGTATTGTCCTGTAACTTAATGCTGAGTTTTGCCTGAATTTAGAGTACTACACAACTCATTATTTTTCCTTTGTTCCTATTTATTACAAAAAAAAATATGATCAAAATGACTTTAATAACTTTATGCAGTATAAAATAAGTGACAGTTGAAATTGTAAATGTAGGTAGAGTTGAGAAAACAAACAAATATCCTTATCTCCTTCTGCTCCCTTTTGCCTTCCCTTTCCCCTTCCTACAACCTCATTCTCTGTTCTCTCCCTTTTTTTTTTTTTTCTTTTTTAATCTTTTCCCCTTTCGTTCGTTTAACAAATGTGTACTGCCTTTTTGGCCACTCAAAATTGCTGTTATTCCTTACTCTTCTCTCTTACCGCATGGTTAGACACTTTATACTGTAAGTAATACCTGTCAGGATGTTACACCTTGTACCACTTGCTCTTCAAGAAGACCCAGGGTTTACAGTTGTCCTGCAGAGCTTCTAGCATGCTTCTGTGCCCTGTCTACAAAGAATAGCAGTGGTGCTTTTGCCAGTGACTAAGCAGAATATATATGGAGATTATACAGACTGGCAGTAACACTAATTACTGGGTTTGTTAATGCTCATGGTAAGAAAAATTTCAGAAGGCAGCAGTGGTGCTGATGTTCCAGTGTTCCAAAAGTGCAGGCAGGATGGGTTGGACATAGAGAGGCCTTATATCACGTGGGGTTGAAAAATAGAAAAGCTGATACAGGATTTAGTTAATGAGAAACCCAAAAAATAGATAGTTAACACCAGCTTCTATGTGCTTTTTGAAAAGTGTATCTTGTGAAATAAATCTGCTTTTACACTTCTTTGAAGCCAAAAGACAATACTTAATTCTGCATCTTAAAGGCAAGAATGTAGACTGCACTTCAAGGTGTGAGGACTGTATCTTAGGAAGTAGTGACTGGGTAAAATTCAGTGATCTCTTGAAGTG